CTCGCGTGCGATCCGTTTGCCTTGCCTTTCACCATTTTCTTTTTCCCGTTTGTTGCAAATGTCTCATTCATTCAACGTGAACAGGATAAAAATACAAATATGTCTAACTCGGTGTCAGCCAAAACTGGTTGGTGATTTGTTGTTTTCCTTCTCGTTGCGCACACACACACACAGCAAATGAGGAGCCGATTTGGTCGCGCCCCCGATTCGGGTCAATGGTGCTGGTCATCGTCACAGTCTTGCACAAGAATTTCTCTGACCGCGTCCAGCGTTAGGTATACATCTGGAAGACTAGCCCCCGCTCCCTACCTGAGGATAAATTAGCTTCGTCGATCTCCCGAATTATAACCGTCTAAGCACGGTAATCCTAGGCTGACTTTCATCCGGCCCCAATTTCGCTTACGGGTATTCCGGGGACGCTCGTTACCCACCGCGGCCTTTTCAACCTCAAGTGAATCCAACCAATCACACACCATTGGGAACCCCACAAGATGATGATGATTGGTGTTTCGGTCATCAAACGCTACCGATTGGATCGGGTCTGTCCAAACCCCGTCCAGTCCGAATGAACTCACTTCGAATGAGTTATCGAGCGAGAGTGAAAGTTTCCGTGGTGTAGAGTGGGCCGTTCCTCACCCCACCCGGGAACGTTATGTTCGTATTCGTTGATCGAATATGCGTCATAGACGCGTATGAACGAACCCGGTGGTAATTGACTTCTGTCGACCGGGTAACGAAGCGAATCACATCAAGATGGTTTGATGAATCGGTTATTATGCCCAGACGTGAATATTGGTATGAATCATCGCATGAGTGGATTCAGTCTAGGCCCTTAATATCCTACCTAGTGAGCACATTCCATTCCTCAACTAGTCCCGATTCCTTTGAATCAAATGCGAGTTCCTACATATTTCTGACATTGAAACTCACGTTAGACAAGATACAAGGATACAGTGAAAGGATTTACAGTATTTCACCTGAATTATAAGATCAAATTAGAACAATCCCTTTTTTCTGTGTCATTCCCGAGTTGACTGTTACATTGAATCCACAATGCCCATGGCAACTATCGGTCACCTACTGCTTCTTCCTTCCCTACTCAGCCTCATTGCATACATTTTTATCCCTATTATTCATTGGTCAATCCGTCACATCGTTTCGCATCCGTTCGATCCCGATTGTTAAGTGAATGAGACAGGTGGTGATAAGAATGAGTTACAGGTATCTATGATGTTGCAAACGACGATAACCCTATCTATATACTGGGTGCTCCATGGGATATTGAGTTGAGCTGGATAAAGTATTGTATCCATTGTTATCTTATTGTTGATCCGCGATTTTCTACAGCCCGGGGAACAGTTCGCTTCCCTGACAAGTTCACGAGCGATCTGGGAAATATGTTACAAGGTGGCATCCGCGGTGCAACTGAATGTCGGATAAGAGATAAAGTTCAGTGGCACCGCGAATGCCACTTCGCAGCATATTTCCCGGGTGTGTTGTGTCACAAAAGATTGTGTAGACGAATTAGCTATCATAAAGGTGGAAAGCAGTGACAGTTTTTCTAATCTGCGGTCGGCTGGGCTGAGCGTTTGAAGACAACCCTTTTCACATTATTATTACTCAATTTCTCTGCAGTCACCGACATTTTTCGGATTATACTTATTCCACTGTGAACCAGTCCGGTTTGTATTTTTGCATTTTTTCACAGATATACCTGCCTGTTCTTAGTTTTAACATATTGAGACGGTTGATTTGTTCGCACGATGCCCCAAAAACTCAAACTTGATGTGTCCAACCGGACAAAATCTAAGTCATCTTCGCTAAGTCCATCTAGCGGTTGATTGACAATGACTGAAGCGATCTATCAAAAAGAAATTACTTTGCATTCCCACTTTGTTCTTATCCATCACTGGTAATACGTTACGATCATATCAGTGACTTAATAGTATCGGCGGATCCGGATTGTTGTGTTTCAATTTTTCAGATTTATTTACCATGTAATTCAAGTTGTGTACAGGCCTCAATGCACCCGGTAAATCTGAATGAGAAATCTGTCAAACGTATTTGACCTTATTACGGGGCAGCCATTGTCGTGAACATCTGGTGATACGATCTAATCACTGGGATGATATAACACGTTACCCGTGTGAAAACAATGGACCGGAAACAACAAAACAGTTCTAGGGGTTTATGTTTGTAACAGTAGTCTGTTTGATTATTATTATTAGGCAACTGTGTTGTTGTAGTTGCTATAAAAAAAACAGAAACGTTGACTAATTTGGATTCTTGTTCAAAATGCGATAATCATTGGTGGATGCTCAAGGGATTGCATCACCTGGTATATGAGGTGAGATTACGATCATTGGGATTATATGTTGCTCAGTACCGCCAAAGTCAGGGAGATTTGATTTTGACGTACCATCCGTGTCGATCACTGCTCATGTTATCGAACAATGTACACCTAAGGGGACACCGCTTCAAGCTATTGATTCTAAAGTGTCGACTGGAATGGGGACGCGAATCTTTTGCAGTCAGAGTATGGGGTTCTTGGAACACCCTTCCACCTCACGTCGTCTGTGCACCCGCTATAGAAACTTTCAAGCAGAGACTCGAAGAAACCTTGGCACACCTCACATTCGTTCACCACTAAATGCAAACACAGATTAACTGTAGCCTACATTCTCTATTATCTCCTACCCGGAACTCAATGTGACTTCTTTTTCGTAAATATCCTGTGGGGACAAGAGAAGCATGAGCTTGCAAGTTATTCCCATAATAAAACTTACTTTGACACATAAATAACCTATGAATGGCTGCTTCAAAGTTACATCTAATTTTCGTACTGTGAAATCCTGCAATGGGCAGTAAAAGAAGTATACTACAACAATGATGATGACTGGATGATGGTCGCTTCATCACTTGATTTGAAGAAACGGACAGTGCGGTGATCCGGGCCTACGTGATGACGCCTACCCTGGAGCGGCGCATCACAGTTTTTGGACACATTCAATCAATCAAATTTCAAAGGCGACGTCAATGACACACGTATGGCTTCTGACTACACGCCATAAGCATATCGTGCTAGCCAATCCGAGACAGTGCAGACAGAAGCAAGATTATGCAAGCAGTGTTGTAATCCGATTGGTGGAAGCCTAGATAACCATTAATCTTCTTTTGTACACATTATTTAATCGCCTTCAGTCCGTGATAGCTGATTATTGATTCGGGTCCTGTGATTCCTATTGCGTGGTTTGCATCCCGAATTCCGTGCGTACTACTACTACTACTACTATAATCATCACAGACATCGATGATACCAGGAAGAACCGTCACAATTAACCCACGAAGGAAGTCGGTCATTCCTACGGATGAAACTCAAGGCAGAATACGCGTAAAAAGGTGTCCATCACAATCATCATCAACTACTTAGATGAAAAACTGATTATAATCAAAAAGATTTATCAAATACCAGTAACGATGAACTTACCGGATAATAAACAGAAGAGGAAAAAGTTATGTAACGACCTGTTTTTTAGTCATTTCTTCCTAGATATGTTCAACACTTGCAGTGGTACAAAACACTTGGACATGACTTTATATGAATTGAGGAACTGAACTTTAATCTGTATTGTTCAAGAAATTTTGGGCGTGCACCAAGAGATCAACGGTGTCGGATACCAGTGGCCAGTTCGAAAGGAAGAAATCTGCACATCATAGGTGCTATTGTGATGGAAGGCAGTACAAAGAGAGTCCTGGTTAGCGACCGAATCCAGAATGGGGCTCATCCGACCGGACGCGCAGAGACAGCGGCGGGAGGTGCCTCGCGAGACAATGTTGACTGCCACCCGAAACGAGCGAATCGACAATTTCGGCCCGACAGACAATCCGCAGCTAACGGGAAAGATACCCACCGAATGCCACAACCTCGGAGCTTTCGATCAACGAATCTCGCGCCGCGATCGGGTCAAACCAGTCGGAATTGCACGCGGAAGAAGAAGCAACGTACGTGCCAAGTGCGGACCAAAACCAACAAGGAATGACCCAAAGAAAGAAACATGAATCATCCCGCCGCTCAGCTGGGAATTGACTGTATATAATCGAACGCATACACTGTTTGTTTTTGAATTGGATCAATAGACGTTTTCCCAGCCAGCTCGCCTTCTCGCTACACTATGAATGCTGATGGGTTGTTGAACTATACTCTGGAAAGCGGATCCTACAATGCAGTGGTTGCAAACGCTCGTTGTTCAGTTATTGGAAGAAGAACAAAAATCCTATGTGATTGTGTGTGATAACGCGCCCTGTCACTCTGAACCGGAAAACGTCGTTGCCGGAGGAAGAGTGAGCATTCCCAGACTTGCTCCATATTCTCCAGCATTGACTCCGATTGAAATGATATGCAGTATTACAAAACGTTACATCAAAACGGAGCCCCGAAATAAACATGTCAAGATCATGACGGGTGATCCTGAAGGATCAATGATTCAACAGGATTGGGGAATGACATGTTTGGAAAGCATTGCTGGTGATGCTAAGTCTTAAATCACGAAGGATCATTGTCAGCATGCATCTAACCATGTTCGTGTACATTATCTGACAGCTATCAAAATGCCTAATTTTAAAAAGTTCTATCGTTTTTGGAGTCAATAAGCCGGGTGCAGGATAAATTTTGTAGACCTTACAGCACATTTAAAATTACAGTATACTGGTTATTCACTTTGCGTTTGTGGATAATTTCTTACAGAAGCAGTTCCTCGGTAGGCAGTGTTTTCCAGGGCACGTGGTGACCAAAGGAAAATTGAGGTAGGCAGTTCGTGTATCGTAAAAATCGAACGATCATGTAAAACCAGTAGACTGGTTTGGGCAATTTCACATTTTACTCATCGTTGGGGTGCAAATAGCACAGATTATCAACCGCTGCGATCTATTCCAGTTTATTCTAAATAATCACCAACAGCCGGATTTGTTTTCATTGCGCATGAAGGAGGAACCATGTTTGATCTGTGTGGCGAGAGATTCGAGAGGAAAAGCAAACTGCAATATTCACACTTTCAGTTTAGGCCTGCGAAATATTTCGTCAAATGTGCGTTTTATTGTCAGAAATATGTAGGAACTCGCATTTGATTCAAAGGAATCGGGACTAGTTGAGGAATGGAATGTGCTCACTAGGTAGGATATTAAGGGCCTAGACTGAATCCACTCATGCGATGATTCATACCAATATTCACGTCTGGGCATAATAACCGATTCATCAAACCATCTTGATGTGATTCGCTTCGTTACCCGGTCGACAGAAGTCAATTACCACCGGGTTCGTTCATACGCGTCTATGACGCATATTCGATCAACGAATACGAACATAACGTTCCCGGGTGGGGTGAGGAACGGCCCACTCTACACCACGGAAACTTTCACTCTCGCTCGATAACTCATTCGAAGTGAGTTCATTCGGACTGGACGGGGTTTGGACAGACCCGATCCAATCGGTAGCGTTTGATGACCGAAACACCAATCATCATCATCTTGTGGGGTTCCCAATGGTGTGCGATTGGTTGGATTCACTTGAATATACAACGGATTCGCTTGATGTTGTAAAGGTATAGTTCATGTCCAGACAGAGGTTAATTTTTAAATGGTGAGCTTGTCGTGTAAATTCAGCGTGAGATCCAGCGATGGGAAGCACGCTGTCCAGCTGTTTCGGCTGTTTGGGTCTTATTCGTACAGTGCGAATCCATCTATCCAACTGGGGATCGAACCCGGGACCACGGCTCTGGTAGAACGCAAACATGCTACCCACTAAGCCACAGGTAGACAGCTGATCAGACCGCTTTTCATTTTCCAGTGCTGCTGTAACCCACTGACTCCTCAATCGTTTCACAGAAAAATTATCTTTCTTTTCAAGTGTAGATTTACCTATACCAATACCGAACCTGAATTGAGACTAAACGGACGGTTAGGCAGATTGTATCATGAATCGGTGAACCGCACCACCATTTCACCTTTGCGGAAGAATGGTCACTTTTTGTTTACTTCTTTGATAATTTTGATAATCACCACCATTCTGTGAGTATCTTTGGTGCAGTGAGGTACTACTCACAAGTTAAATGAGTACCTTTTTTCATTGTTGTTTCTCAGATCGGAGTCTTATTTTCATATGCTGAAAAATTCAGTAGCCTCGGTGGGATTTGAATCCACCCATGGACGCCGCCTATACTTTTGTACAGCGCACGTTCTACCAGCTGAGCAATGAGGTGTCCATGCGTGGGTTCGAATCCCACCGTAGGCTACTGAACTTTTCACAATCTCAACTTGAGTACCAGTTTGTTGCGCGCACATGGGAATAGCCTGTGGTGTGTGCAATGATTGTAGTAGTTCTAGTAGTAGTAGTAGTAGTACGCACGGAATTTGGAATGCAAACCACGCAATAGGAATCACCGGACACGGATTAAGGATTAGCTGTCACGGAGTGGATTACGGTAGCACTAGACCGCAATGGCACGTGCCCACAGTATCCCACTGGGACGAGACGCGAGGAAAAGGCCACAGGAATAGTAGTA